GGGGCTATACAATCTGATAAGGTGATCGAGGATGAAAGGGAGCCCCTCGACTTTGCTCACGAAGAATCGGAGCAGAATAACAATTTGCCAAAAGGAAGGATGGATTTGGCCTAGGGTTATTTGGTATTGACGGCAAAAATTAACGATGACGGGGTCGAGGGGGCCCAACGTGAAAGGGTAAGTGTAAACACTTAGAAACCCTTCCACATGAGTGGTGATATCTTTTTCGGGGGTCGGGATCACCACCTCTTTGCCTTCCCAGTTGCGGTCTTTCTTTACCTGCTTAAGGTATCCCTCAGTTATTGAGCATATATACCTCGACATTGGCTCGCATCGATCAGGAATCGACGAGGCTTTATCGGTCTTAAAATCGGAGTTTAGCACGCACCCCCAAGAATGCATTCCTCAAGACGGGGATCCACCAGCGTTTTTCCGTCGGTCGGTTGAGAAGATGAAGCAACTTCTTTTTGTGGTACCATTTTCGATGTTTTTGCCATTCTTGTGTAAGTTTGAAGAAGAGGAAGATAATAGGACTTGACATTTGAGACATGATTAACAGCAAAGCCTGAAGATTTGTAAAAGGGACGAACTTAAGAGATGTAAAAGCTTTAGATATTAGAAGGAAGTGAAAGTAAAGTTTGAATCAATGAGGAAGTGATCTATTTATTGGACTCACGGCGACAGTTCAAAGGCACTAGTGGCCGACAACCAACTAACACTCATTAATGACTTGGAAAACTGTACTGACGGGACGTTTTGGTCACTCCCGTCGCTTACGTCATGAGGATGTCGTCATTACAGGTCGAGATAGAAAATTGAAGGCTCAATTCGTTTCTTGTCATTTCACTCCAAAAAACGAGGAGACTATCTGTATACGGTTAAAATCGGGCCCACCCGATTTTACTATTTGACCGAGACTAGGAGGTTGCATCGAAGAATGGCCTCGTAACAGAACAGACTAAATCACGAGGATAAGGTACTGAGTTCATAATCGAGGTACCGGTCGAGATCGAGGCTAGTAGTGATCGAAACCAAATGAGACAGACATCGAGCAAGATCGAAGATAGCACAATAACAGAAAGGCGAGATATCCACGACTGGTCGAGGATCATGGCATAAATCTCGAAACGAATCAAATTAGAAACAGTTAATTAGCTAATCATGAATTTACTTCTGTAATTAGAATTATACCATAAGTGAAATTCCTCTACTATTTATAGGGGGTTCTAATCATTTGGAAGACACATGGTTCACAGATATCAAAGAAATGTAATTCTCTTTCTCGTTTATACTATTGTTCATCAGCTTGTTATATTTTAATTGTTCTTACATCAACCAGTTCGAGGGTATCCAAACTTGAGGGCTGAGTTCCATTCTAACACAAGTTTGCTTTACTTTATAGTTTATTTCTATTATTAATCTTCATATTTATCAATTGGTATTAAGTGAAATTACGTGTACTTAGAACAATATTATAAATTTAATTGTTATCCAATTTTAAGGATAAATAAGAACATTCATTAAAGTTAAAAGAGACATATAAAAAAAGCTATTGCTCAGATTTCTGCAACTGAAATCGTGCAAAGTTGAGGCATCCACACTTGTTTTTCAAAGCTTCGGTACTGTATACAAAGATAGAAAGTAAAGGAGACTTTTCTCTTTAAATTATTGCATCAGAAATAGTATAGCTGCCATAATAGTTTATTAATTCCAGCTATGCTTAGCTTGCAGCCTCTATCGAACAAAAAGAGTATACCAACTCAAGTCAATTTGAGCCGACAACATGACAAAACCAAATCAAAATGCATACTCTAGCTTTTTTACTTTGGTAGGTTTTAAGTAATCTAGTGAGACTTTTACCTTCATTCATGAAAATCTTGGAAAGGGTAATTGTATAATTGAAAGCTATATAAAGGGGTCGGAGTGAAGCTTAAGAGGACAACAACTTTTCTCATTTGTTTCAAAGATGGGGAAAATGGCCTCTCTATTTGCCTCTCTTTTAGTGGTTTTAGTGTCGCTGAGCTTAGCTTCTGAAAGCTCAGCAAATTATCAATACTCATCTCCACCACCACCTAAGAAACCATACCTCTACAAGTCTCCTCCTCCACCAGTGCATGTCTATCCATCACCACCCCATCACCCTGTATATAAGTCTCCACCACCACCTAAGAAGCCATACCACCCTTCACCAACACCATATCATCCTGTACCAGTTTATAAATCTCCACCACCACCCAAGAAGCCATACTACCCTCCACACCCTCCGGTTTACAAGTCACCACCACCACCCAAGAAGCCATACTCTCTCCCACACACCCCGGTTTATAAGTCGCCACCACCACCAACTCCCGTTTACAAATCACCACCACCACCCAAGAAGCCACACTACCCTCCACACACTCCAGTTTATAAGTCGCCACCACCACCCAAGAAGCCATACTATCCCCCACACACCCCGGTTTACAAGTCGCCACCACCACCAACTCCCGTTTACAAGTCGCCACCACCATCCAAGAAACCATACTATCCTCCACACACCCCAGTTTACAAGTCCCCACCACCACCAACTCCAGTTTACAAGTCACCTCCACCACCAACTCCAGTCTACAAGTCTCCACCACCACACCACCCCTATGTTTACGCTTCTCCTCCTCCTCCCTACCATTACTAAGAAGTGACATCACAAAGTTGAAGGTAATAAAGCCAAATTAATTAAGACATTTTCATAATGATGTCAAGAATGCAAAGCAAATTGCATAACTGCCTTTATGCAAAACATTAATATAATATAAATTATAAAGAACTGCGCTCTCTGCTTCTTATTTTCTTAGCTTCATTTATTAGTCACTAGCTGTTCAGAATTTTCAGTATCTTTTGATATTACTAAGAACCTAATCACACAATGTATATTCTTATGCAGGAAAAGCAGAATGCTGAGCTAAAAGAAAGGCTTTTTCCATTTTCGAGAGACAATGAGAAAAGAAGAAGAAGAAGAAGAAGAAGAAGAAGAAGAAGAAAAGAGTAAATAATAAAGCCCCACAGGAGGCGAAGTTCTTGTAGCTCCATGTTATCTAAGTTATTGATATTGTTTGCCCTATATTTTATTTCTGTCATTGTGTATGTTTTGTTCAGTTTCGATCTCCTTGCAAAATGCAGAGATTATGAGATGAATAAACTAAGTTATATTATTATACGTGTTAATATTCTCCTCCTCTCTCTAGCTAGCCTTTTGTTTTCTCTTTTTCTTATTTGATTTTCTTTAAATCAATCCATTTTAGGAGAGGGCCAGGGAGTGATCCAGCAAAACATGAAGATTAGAAGAAACTTCCCTCTTTTTTTTCCTGAAAACAATTTAACGTCGAGATTTATCTCTTTTTGTAATGGAATCATTTCTACAGTTATGACTATTTTAAAATTGATATCGCCAGACCTAGCAGATTAAAGTACTCCTTCGGCTCCATCTGGCAGTGTACGGAGAATGGATTACTTAATATTCAGTATGAAGTTGGACATAAAATCTTAAGAGCGTTAGAGAATTTAACCGGAGGAGGATTTAGGATTTGAAGATGCGGGTGTCACAATTTTTTTTTAATGTACACCTTAAAATAACTAATATTTTCTCCGTTCCAGTTTATATGTAAACTTATTTCCTTTTTAGTCCGTTCCAAAAAGACCCCTTTCTAAATTTGGAAATAATTTATTTTAAATTTCCAATTCTATCCTTAATGAGAAATTTTTTTAACCACACAAATATTCTCGACCCTTTTTTGACTTGTTTAGGACCACAAATTTCAAAAGTATTTATTTTTTGTTACACTTCGTGCCCAGTCAAACAGGTTCACATAAATTGGAACGGAGGGAGTATAGAGTTTGTTCGGGAACGTTTGTCCGATTTATTTATTTATTAGTTTATTCAAGCAATTAATATGTATTTTTTATTTAAAATTAGAAAATTACATCTCTTTCCCAGAAAATACTTGTGAGATTTCACTCAGTATGTTGTTGTACAAAAATTACATCTCAAACATCAAGAAGCAAATATAATTAGCATTTTAAAGAAGGAATCACACTTCATTATTAACAATACAAATAAAATCAATATTTTTTACAAGGAACTGCATCTTTTTTTATATGCTAAAAGTAAATTTGCACAAGTAAAATATCTTTAATAAGGGAATTTCACCAATCAGAATAAGAAAAAAATAAAAATATCTTCAATAAATAAATTATACACCATAAGTAAATGCAAAATTAGATAAACTACAAGATCCCAAAAATTTAAATAAAAAATCTCAATATTTTTCTAAGCAATACTTACGAAATATTCACCATAATTTAATAGTAAAGATAGTTAAATTGTATTTAACAATCATAGAATAACAAAAGTTTTTATGTTATAATAAAAAATAAATTATAAAAATTAAATTTGATCTTAATCCAAAATTTCTATCAAGACCCAAGTTTTTTGATTTTGAAAAAAAATTTAAAAAATTTAAATTAAGAGAAATTATTATTTTACGGTATTTTAAATATATGAGGCTCTTTTTTGAGTATTTTTGCTAAAGATTAGAGATAAAATAAGAGAATAGAGGAAAACATATAAAAAATTATAAGCGACAAATAGAAAATTGGGAGGTAGCCAAAAAGGAAAATGACCGGGACAAAGGAAATAAAAAGCACAATAAAAAATGAAAATTAGACAAGGTTTGCACCTTTGTCTGGTTTGCGATTGGGGGTGGCAGGATCAAATATTTAATTGTAACGACCCGATCGATCGTTTCGAGAGTTATAGCCATGTTTCCCCTATTTCTTCTTCTTCCGTATTCTTCAGTTATATTATGATATATCGGGTTAGTTGGTTCGGGTCCGGAGTAGTTTCAGAGTTAATCGAATGTTGACTTAAGTGTAAATGATCTCAGATTTGGATTTTGATGATTCTGTTAGCTCCGTTAGGTAATTTTGGACTTAGGAGCGCGTCCGGAATGTGATTTGGAGGTCCGTAGTGGAATTATGCTTGAATTGGCGAAAGTTGGAAATTTGGCGATTTTGGTCGGCAGTGAAAAATTTGATATCGGGGTCGGAATGGATTTTCGGAAGTTGGAATAGGTTCATAGTGTCACTTGTGACGTGTGTTTAAAATTTGAGGTCATTCGAATGTGGTTTGGTAGGTTTCGGCATCATTTGTGGAATTCGAAAGTTTAGAAGTTCTTAGGCTTGAATCCGGGGGTAATTTGATGTTTTGATATTGTTATGAGTGATTCGAAGGTTCCACTAAGTTTGTATGGGCTTATATGACTAGTCGGTACATTTGGTTGAGGTCCCGAGAGCCTCGGGAGGTGTTTCGGATGCTCAACGGAAGGAAGTTTTGGACTTAGGCTTGGCAGATTATTCTGGTGTTTTCACATCTGCGGTGGGAGGCCCGCGGGTGCGGGCCCACAGAAGTGCGTAGGAAGTCGCAGATGTGGGCAAGGCTGGGTTGGATTGGAATCGTAGGTGCGAGAAGGGGGACCCATCTGCGAGCTCGCAGATACGAGACTGAGACGCGGATGCGGAAGAGAGGAGTTTGGCTGTTTCCGCAGAAGCGGAGGGAAATGCGCAGGTGCGCGTCCGCAGGTGCGAGACCTGGGACGCAGGTGCGGGGCCAGTGTGTTAAGTGAGTTTTCGCAGAAGTAGAGTTCCCAACCACAGAAGCGGCTCCGCAGGTGCGGATATTGGACCGCATGTGTGGTTTTGCTGGGCAGAAAGTATAAATAGATGACTTCGAGATTTTTTCTCATTTTCACAATTTGGAACACGGACTTTGGAGCTTTTGGAGTTATTTTTGGAAGGAAATTTGAGGGTTATCACTGAGGTAAGTTCCCTGAGCCTAATTATCCTTAGCTATGGTGTTTTTCCGTTGATTTCTCACATAATTAGTAGGGTTTTGAAGTAAAAATTGGGGGTTAGGGCTTGGAATTTTGGAGAGTGGATTTGGGGGATTTGAGAGACCAAAGAATGTCGGATTTTGATGAAATTAGTATGGTTAGACTCGTGAGTGAATGGGCTTTCGGGTTTTGTGACTTTAGTCGGATTTTGAGACGTGGGCCCCGGGTTTGAGCCGATTTCGGGTTTTGGTTCTAATTCAATAGTTTTATTGTGGAATTGATCCCTTTAGCATATATTGATCGTATTGTATTGCTTGTGGCTAGATTCGGGACATTTGGAGGCCGATTTGAGAGGCAAATGCATTGCGGAGTAGGATTTTGCTCGGATTGAGGTAAGTAACAGTCTTAAATCTGGTTTTGAGGGTATAAAACCCCGAGAATTTGTATAATGTGATATTTGGAGGTGACATACATGCTAGGTGACGGGCGTGTGAGCATGCACCGTGAGAGATTGTGACTTGGTCCGTCTCGTAAGCCTGTAAAGTAGAATAGCCATTGTTATTACTTATATTTCCTTGTCTTTGAGCAATTGACTGCCTTTCATGTTACAAACCATGCTTAGGCCATATGAAATTATTTTTGGGCAGCGGTTGTATATTTGTTGAATTGACTGCTAATTAATGTCTTGTACTCAGTCACAGTCTTATTGTGTGTTATATCTCTGTTTCCTTTCATTTCTTATTGATACTTGTTGTATCCTTTGTTTGGGCTGGTTATTATGATATTTTGTGAGCCCGAGGGGTTGGAGAGGTTATAGATTGAGATAGGGCCTGAGTGCCGAGTTGGAAGCTATGTGAGCAATATTGGATCGGATTGCACGCCGCAACAAGTCTTCGGGCCATATATTGGATCGGGTTACACGCCGAAACAAGCCTTCGAGCCATATATCAGATCGGGTTGCATGCCGTAGCAATATATCGGATCGGGCTGCACGTCGCAATAATATATGGATCGGACTGCACGCCGCAACAATATATAGCGCTTGGGCTGTAGGAGCCCATCCGGAGTCTGTACACCCCAAGTGAGTGCAGGTACCTTTAATTGTGAGTATTGAGGCTGAGAGCCGAGTGATTGAGCTGTTGAGATAGATGAGTGACAGTAGCCCTGTAAGGCTGTACTTGCTCTTATTTTGTTGTTGCACTTCGTTGCTAATTGTTGTTGTTGTGAAACTTTCTGGAGGGCATATATTGTTGTACCTGAACTCGAAATGTTTTGATTTAAAACACTAAATTGAAAGCATGTCTATTTTCTTGCTGAAATTACTGAAATGAACTGCATTGTGTAGTTCGTCACTGCTTCTCATTTCCTTATTTAATTTTGTTACTTACTGAGTTGGAAGTACTCACGTTATTCCATGCACCTTGTGTGCAGATTCAGGTGTGACTGGACATGGAGGTCATTGAGTTCGTGCGTAGTTGATCTTCCGGAGATTTACGAGGTAGCTGCCGGCGTTCGCAGACCTTGTGCTCCTTCCTTATTATCTTTCTTTCTCTGTATTGATATCTAGACGTAGACTATTGTAGACATTGTCTTTTAGATTGAGAGTCTAGTGGCTCATGACTTAGTGACACCCCGATATCGGGCTATTTTTCCGCACTTATATTTTATTTGGGTTTTACCCCGTATTTATGAGAAACTCCAGTTATTTTAAATATCTTAATTCACTTCTGTTAAATTTTGAAAGTGTTTTGGAAAGGTCGGCTTGCCTAGTACCATGATAGGCGCCATCACGACGGGTTAGGTTTTTGGGTCGTAACATTAATCTAGTTTAAGAAAATTGCTACATAAATATTTGATAATTTTACCAATCTAGCGGGTGACGTACAACGCCAACCCTAAAGGATGGATCCTCCCCTGAATTTAACTCTTTAAAATTTAATAATTATGTAATACTAGAGATACTAACTTATGAAATATCATTAAAAATTGACAAGAAAAACTTTTCCTTTCTACAACGGCTACATAAAATCCCTTGTCTTAACGCATCCTGCACACGCTCCACTAGATGGAGCCGCCAGGAGGCATCCCACCGGTGCGTACGGCAGATCAGGTTCACCCATAGGTGAAACATCTCACAATGTTGATTCTAAGCTAGGAAAACTAACCTATGCTAATACCATCTCAGCTTCTTCATCATCTTCTCAAATCCCCAATCCAAACTCCAATCGCCATGAAAAGGAGAAAGTGATAGCAAGACATACGACTCACAATGGCATGCCAGCTCTGATTTTCGAGGCTAAAGACTACTATGGCATAATGACGGATTCAT